CAGGGGGGCAGCTACTGACAGGGCAGGTGAGCCATAGTGAGAGCGGCTGGGGCCATAGTGAGAAGGGCTGGGGCAGGGGTCCTGGGCAGAGCAGTGTCAGGCACGGCCTCCTGTCTCATCTTCAGAATTGGGCCTCGAAGGAGCGGAGGAAATGTGTCAGGTGGGAAGGCAGGGAAGGGCATTCCTGGCCTTTGCAAAGAAAGGTTCAAGGAGGAAAGCTTGAATTGGGAGTGGCTGGACTGAGGGATGTCTGGAGAAGTCACCAGGGGTTGGAGTGTTGGAAGGTCCCCATCTACGGAGCCAGGGCAGGATTTAGAACTTGGCCAGCCGTGTTTGGGAAGGCTGTGGCTGCAGTGTGGAAGGCCTGGGGGCAGGAAGCACAGAGAAGAGGAGGCTGGATGGCGGTCAAAGCAGTGAGGGCTGTGGATTCTGAGCTCCTGGGCACTCTAGAGCACTACCGTGCCCTGGTCACCAGAGGGCGCTGTGGGGCAGCAAGCAGTGGAGGCCCCAGCTGGCGGCAAGGCCATGCATATACTATGTGCACCGCTGTGCCTGTGGGCTGTGTCTGTGGACGTGCCCATGTGGTCATGCATGTGGTCCCTCCACATGCACATACACACTTGTGCACCCCCTTGTGTTCATGTGTGTGTGCGTGTGTATTTGGGGTGTGTGGACTAGCACAGGTGTGAAGGGGAACGTGGGAGTGAGGATGTCCAAGGGGTGTATATAGGTGAGAACAGGGGCTCCTCAGCTCCCACCACCCAGCCACATCCGTCTCCTTGTTACTCACTTACAAGCCATCCACCTCAGGGCGCTTGCACAGCTGTTCCCTCTGCCTGGAATGCTTCTCCCCCACATATCCTTGTGGGCCCTTCCCTTACGTCCTTTGGTTTATGTCCTTTGGTCTCTGCTTATATGGTACCTCCCAGGGAGGCTTTTCCTGACCTCCCTCCTTAAAATTATAGCCCCCATGTCCAGACACACACCATGTCCCCTACCCTACTTTTCCCCATAGCATTTTTTTTTTTTTTTTTTTTTTTTGAGACAGGGTCTTGCTGTCTGCCAGGCTGGACTGCAGTGGCATATCCTTGGCTCACTGCAGCCTTAACCTCCTGGGTTCAAGTGATCCTCCCACCTCAGCCTCCCGAGTAACTGGTGCATACCACTATGCCCAGCCAACTTTTTTTTTCTTTCTGTAGAGACGAGGTTTTGCAATGTTGCCCAGGCTGGTCTCAAACTACTGGGCTCAAACGTTCCACCTGCCTTGGCCTCCTAAAGTGCTGGGACTATAGGTGTGAGCTACCATGCCTGACCTGTCATAATTTGACTTAGGCATTTTGCTTGTCTGGCTCACACACCAGGGCATACCTCCCCAGGGAGCTGTGTCCATCTTGTTCGATGTTGTGTTCTCAGTGCCGGTCACATAAGTAAGTGCTCAACGAATACCTGTTGAATGAATGAAGGAGCTGCCCACATCCTGGGCTTGGGTCAGCCTCTCTCTCTCTCTTTTTTTCCCATCATCAATATTTATTGAGCATTTACAGTGTACTAGGCACAATAGAACATAGAGAAAACATTGTCCCTGCTCTTGAGGAGCTTACATTCTAAAAGAAAAAATACAGCTCTTTTAAAATGGCATTTTTTTGTTTGGTGTTTTCTGCAAAGTACCAAGGAAATATTTTGTAAAGTGAGCTTTGGGTATAACTTAGCCCCATCATTATTTAGAGCATAGAGGAAGAAGAAAGAGGAAGGATTTTAAAGGCAGACAATGACAGACCATTCAGGATAGGTAGGGTTTTAAAGGGAGATAAACACAATGTCATCAACTAAGGAGAGATTTGCTGCAGTAAACAGGATGAGAGAAATAGTCTGTGGGGTGCAAGCAAAGGAAGCAGGGTGTCGTAGACATTGAGTGGAGCCAGAAAGATCATGCGGCCTTTTTCCAAGTACATGGCCACCAAGTAGGAATGGTTGGTGACAAGACAGAAGGCTAAAAAAGGAAGGTAGTCTCATGCACCTGACAAATAGAAAGACTAAAGGATCAAAATCGAAAGCAGGCTCTAAGAGTATCAAGAAATTCTTAAAAACCCAAAAGTGATTTGGAAGCACAAAACTTATAGTTAATGCTATTGAGTCAGCGTCTTTCTACAGCCTTCTGTCACCCCAGGTCCTGCCCACCTCAGATCATGCTTGCATCCTGACTTTGGCCACAATCCTTCCCATCCAGAGACTGAGTTTCCTGCATCCGCAGAGAGCGGGTTTGGGACTTTTCTCCTAGGAGTCAAGGTAAGAGGCAGCCTCTTGTGACCCATGTCAAACATTTCTTCTGATTTCTGCGTGGCCATGGAGTTCCTCAGCCTTACTGTGCCACTTACAGACAGAAAGAAATCAAGAGATGTCACTATAGCAAGCCAGCAAGAGACCTTTGTCTCTGATGGTCCTTGATCATACTTCTTGAGCTGCAGCAATGCAGCTGTGCATCTCGGTCTGGCCCCTCACCTTGTCCTCATGTGTGGCCCTTTTTACATCTCCAATCCGTTGCCTCTGCTGTTTCTTTCCAGGGATGCTCTTCTTGCTTCTCTGCCTGGCAAGCTCCTACTGGTCCTTAAAGTTCCAGTCTCAAAATCACCTCCTCTGAGAGGCCTTCCCTGACCCCACCCAGATGGAGATGCCAGCATCACCCAGGCACCCTACTGGGACTTTTGCTCATGCATCTATTTATAGCACTTACATGGAGTTTTGTGATTCCTGGGCTGTTTATCGGGCTCCTGACTAATCTACAAACTGCTTGTTTGCAAGGGCCCGTCTGAGTCATCTGGCTGCCAAGGAGGTTGGCACGGGACTGGAGTCGCTTCACCCTGGTCTGTGGATGCCTTCCTCCTTCCTTTTTTCATTCCTCAAATATTTATCAGGCACCTACTATGTACCTGGTTCTGGGCTGTGCATTGGGAACCCAGCAGGGAATGAGGCGCAGATGGTCTGGAGGGAGAGCCGTGTTAAAAACTGAGTCAGTAACAAAGGCATCAGCAGCATGAGTGTTGTGCCTCAGTTTGGGGACCTGGGAAGGGAAGGTCCCCAAACTGATGGGAAGGCTTCTTAGGCGTGTTCATTTAGGAGGCAGTCTGAGGGATGAGAGGGAACCAGCCCCAGGAGGCTTGAGTGGAGGAATGTTCTGGGCGGAAGCAGCAAGGGTGAAGCTCCTACGGCAGGACCATCACTGGCACATTTGAGGGGCAACACTAAGACTCTTGAACATCCCAAGGAGCAGAGTGCACAAGGCAGAGTGTCGGGGAGCAGAAGTCAAGGCTGTTGGCCGGTGCCTGAATCCAGAAAACTTGCTGGACCAGCCTTGTAGTTCTGGTAGAAAGGAAACTGCTACTGGATGCCCATTTTATGGATGGATAAGTGCAGGTCACCAGGGATGATACGGCCAGGATGGAGGCAGTCCCAGTGTTTTTGAACTCACATTTCCTGGGCACTTAGTGAGTGCCAGGCCCTAGGCCAGGTGTTCCCACTCCTGAACTCATGAAATGCTTTCAGAGACCTTCTTGTCCCCATGGGATAGGTAAACTGAGGCACAGAGCTGCTCAGTGACTTCTTTAAGGACATCCAGCTAGTAAGTGGAGGAATTGGTATTGGAACTCATACCTGTCTGAGACCCAGACTCATGATTTTCCATCCCACTGCCTGTGAACAGGAGACGCAGGAAGAGAATGGTGATGGCTGCAAGGCTTCCCTCCTATCTCATGTGGCCCTCCCCACTCTGTGTGCATGGGGCCCTGCATCACCCCCACTTTACACCTGGGCAAGCAGAGGTCAGGCCCGGCCTCAAGCGTTTCTAGCAGGTGGTGGAATCTGCTTCCCTCACGTGAGGTCCCTGACAGGGTACACACTCACGTCTGCCTGGAGGCCAGCGGCTGACCCCTTGACCTTTGCCTGGTACATTCTGCCTTCACTAGCCCTGACTTTACATCCAGAGTCATCTGATCCCAGCGCCAGGTTGGTCAGCGGTTCCTGAAATCCCCCAAGGTTCCGTGTGGGAGCAGAGAGAGGACTGGTCCATCCAGCCATTATGCAGATGGGCAGACTGAGATCTTAGGAGGAGAGGAGAGAACCAAGGTCCAGGAGAGAGCCAGGATGGGGCCTCCGGGCTCGTGGGATAAAATGCACCGCATGCTGCCTCACTCCCTCTGAGACAGTTTCCCCCGGTGTAGAACAGGGGCAGCAGCAACCAGCCACGACAACTCCTCGTGCTGCCTAGTCACCGGGCATCGCTGAGCTCACCACCAACCCCGCGCCCTGGCCGGGCGCCTGGAGCGCGGGCGCGGGCGGACGTTTGCTGGCGCCGGGCCCTCAGTGCGTGTCAGCCGGCAGCGCCATCAGACGGCTGTCACCGCCGCCCGCTCACAGATGCGTAGACTGAGGCTCAGGTGTCACGACCTGACCAAGACTAGTTCCGCTACAAAGTTGCCGACTCGGATCTGAACCCGGGTCCAATTTACAGAAAAGGAAACTGAAGCCCAGAGACACCAGGGAGCTTGCTGGGGTGAGGCAGCTGCAGGTTCAGAGAGCCAGGAGGCAGCCCAGCAGCGCACTTTTAACCCCCGCCCGCCTCGCCAGGCCCAGCCGTGCCACCTTTAGGGATCTCGGGTTTTTTCCAGACGACGCACCCGGGAGAACGCGCCCACGCATCGCACCCGCCGGGGCTGCGCGTCTGGGGGTGCTGGGCGGAGCCTGGCGCTTGCAAGGAGCAGCGGGCTCAGTGGGTCCCGGGAGTGGGTGGGGCTTGCGTGTTGACGGGCAGCGCGAGGGGCGCGGCTTTAGTTCAGGTGGGCGGAGCCTGACCGGACTTGGGTTTTTCGGGCGGCTGGCGGACTTGACAGAGAGCGGGAGGGGCCCGGATCCTGGGCCCACGGAGGGTGGGGCGTGTAATTGACAGACAGGGACAGACCGGCGTCTGATAGGCAGGGGACGGGCCTTGGAAACGAAAGGGCCAATCGGGCACGCAGGGGCGGGGCCTGAGTCAGCGCCGTTCGGCCGGGGTCCCCTAGGCGCTGCCCAGTCTGGCTCCGGCGCCGCCCGTTGCGGACTCGTCCTTGCAGTAGTCGCCGCCGCCGCCTCTGCTCCTCCGCCTGGCCCGGGCCGTCTGCCCGCAGCCATGAGCGTGCTCGGCCCCGGTGGAGTCCGCAGTCCTCTAGATTAGTCCCCACCGCCGTCCAGGACCCGCTTGCAGCATGGAGTCGCCCGCCTCAAGCCAGCCCGCCAGCATGCCCCAGTCCAAAGGTAGGCGCTCCCGGCCGGAACCTCGGCCTGACCCCGCGCCCAATCTGGGGCCGGGCTGCAAACCCCGACCGAATTTCTTTGGTCCCACCCCATCCTGTTCTCGACCTGGCAGCGGCGTCCGGTCCCGGAACCCCTTCCTGTTCGGGGCCCCGGGACCGGCCGCAGCCTGGGTCCTCACCTGGACCCCCAGGTTAGGCCTTGGGACTGCATTCAGGCCCGAGATCACCCAGGCTGGACCCAGACTAGGACTTTGTTCTGGTCACCCCATCCAAGTCAGGAGCCTCACTCTGACCTCATTTGGGCCTTATGGCTGCAGCCTGGACAGGAACTCTCCCAGTCTTCTCCCTCAGAGGGACCCAGGTGAGATTCACACTGGCCTCCACCTGTGTCCTTGGGCAGCACCCGCTCCCATTTCCAACTTGGGGTCCCAGGGCTGTATCCAGGCTGGGATTTAACTTAAGTCTCCATCTGGGCCCCAGAGTGCTCCTGTTGTTTCGGACCTCACTGTACCCGCTATGCGGGTGCTCTGGCTACACCCCAGCTCGGAACTCCCCGTCCTTCTCTCCTCCAGCTCTTCTTATCCTTATAGGCCCTATGTTGCCCCTTCCCTGGCTGGCCTGCACCCTGTCCTGCAGCCCTGTGCTCCCAGGAACCTCCCTTGTCCTCCCACCCCTCCCTAAGGTACAGCCCCCTCTCTACTGGCTTCTCTCTGTCTTGAGTTGCAAGCTTCTCCCTGCACTTGGGGTTCTCACCCCATCTTATTCCTCTCCTGGCTGCCTGGGATCTGGGCCAACCGCCAGGCCAGGGTGCTGGCTGTGCAAGGGATTTGCTCTTCTCCAAGTAGCTGGCCTTCCTGGAAATTTTTGTGAGGTGGCAGCAGCAGGATTTGTCATGCGGAGGGGGAAGGATGAGACTGGGAGGGCAAAAGGGGAATTTTTTTTTCAGGAAGAGGAAAGGATGTTTTTGGTGCGTCGGAGTTTCAGTAGGCTGGGTTGTGTGAGAGATTTCCAAACCGGACATAGCCGTAATGAATGGGCTGCCTCCTGGCTCTCTGAACCTGCAGCTGCTTCACCCCAGCAAGCTGCCTGGTGTCTCTGGGCCTCAGTTTCCTTTTCTGTAAATTGGAAGTAATCACACCTGCTTCTGTGGACGCGGGAGTGTGGCGTGGGGTGGTGAATATAAAAGAGCTCTGAGGTGTTCACTCAGCATAGCGCCTGGCGGAGAGCCGGTGCTCACCAGGGGACACTGGCTGCACACATCTCGCTATTGTTTCCATTCTTCTTGCTGGAAAGGCCTCCACTGCTGGAACTGCAGCCGCAGAGTGAGCAGGAGGAAGCATCTAGCAGCGGGCACCTAGTGGGCCCCTCATCGGGGATCAGCCGCTCTTCTGCTCTGGAGGGCGCAGGCCAGTGGGAGCCCTGTGGGGGCTTGAGGAGGGCACGGGCTCTTCCTGGCCCCTGCTGCTGACTGCTATGGTGGCTGGAGCTGGGTGGGCAGGATAATTATGCCTTACATAAGTGGGAGGCCGGATCCCTGACCATTGCCCAACCACTGTGAGTAACTCAGGAGGCACTTGAGGGGGGAGGTGTCTGGGGAGGGACTTGCACTGCCCAGACCTCGTGGAGCTTGGGAACCAGGAAATCAGACACTTCTCCACTCTGGAGAGCCTGGGGAAGGGTAGGAAGCCCTGTTTGTTTTGGAGGCTTTTTAGCTCTCCAGGCAGAGAATGCCTCATCAAAATAAAAGTTCCAGTTGCAGAGTTGTGAAGGGAGAGGGGTCGTAGATGTGGTGAGAACGCTGTGAGAGGGCCAAGATGAACTTCTAGATATGGACCCAGGTCGCAGATGAAATTGAGGGAGCTGGATGGAGGGTCAGGGACCTCCCTCAGGCCCCGGGACCCTTGTAGTCTCTTTGGGATCTGGGGAAGGATGTGGTGACAGAGCCGCAATGCACTTCACCAAAAACCCTATGAGCTGCTTCTTTGTTTCCATGTGCCATGCATTTTCTCATTTATTCCTCATAGCCCTATTTATAGATAAGGAAACTGAGGCGTTAAGTGCCTTGCCTGAGGCCACGCAGCTGTGACAGGCGGAGCTAGGGTTCCCCCTAGGACTGCGTCCCCACAGTGGCCTTCTCCGTGCTCCCTTATGTGCCCCTCCCATGCTGGATGCCTGAGCTGAGCTGGTGGGGTGCCCCCACCCCTGGCCTTGCTCAGAGCATGTGCAGTGGGCCTGTCCTCATGGCCATGTCAGACCTAGAGGACAGACTGAGGCAGAGGTGCTGCTGCTCTTGTGCACAGTGCTTTACACTGGGCCTGTTGCATACTCGCTGCAAAATCCCCCTCATTTGACAGATGTAGAACTGAGCTTGGATGGAGGAGTAGCCGGACTGCTCCCACAGGTGGAGATCCTCACCCCGTGCCTGCCCCATCCTGAGCACTGGGCCTCCCAGCACGGAGCCCTTCTCCACCTTCTCAAAGGAATTTGAACAAAGCAGGGAGTGGCTGGCGCTTGACCTTACTGGAGCTTTACCTTTGAGCTTCCTGCCTTGCAGCAGGTACCCTGCCCTATCCTTCCTGCCATGGGCCTGGGGAGTTTTCCGTGAGCGTGTGAGGCCCTCAGGCCCACAGCTCTGTTGGTTTTCCCCTGGCCTTCTTGCCCACATGGCCATCTCTGGCTGGGATCAGAGGCCAAGTGGCCGGCGCTGGGGCCAGTGGGTGGGGGCATGTGTGCAAGCCACATTTGTCCTTGGAGGGTACCACGTGTGTCCTGTTGTCGTTCAGAACATGGGTTCTGCCCCTTCTGCCCTAAGAGTGCCACCTGTGGAGGCACTTCATGGCTAGTCTTCACACAGCTTGGACTGTGGCTGCCCAATGGGGTCACTGAGGTTTCATGGAGACTCCTGACTGCCCAGTGGGGTCACTGAGGTTTCATGGAGCACTGTCGTATCCTAGCCCTGCCTATTGTGGCCATCCCCCATCCCCCGGCTGTCGGAAAGACTGGAGGTGGCACCTCGGGGACTTCCCCCACCCCTCTTGTGACGCACAGGAAACTCTCTGTCAGCCAACCCATGGCCCAGGGCCCAAAGGGAGCAAAGTTCTCAGTTGGCCTGTGTGAGGAGAAGGCCGGGGCAACGGAGGCTTCCGGCGGTGAGTCAGCGGGCACTGAGTGCTGACTCACCCGCTGGGCATGCCAGCCAGCTGCCTACAGCTTAAAGGGGCGATGCCTGCTGGCCTGGTGGGTGGGGAGGGGGTTACGTGTCCTGCAGGTGGCACCTAGCCCTGAGCTGGAGCACTGGAGGTGGCCCCTTCCTGCGCCTCGGACTAGGCTGGGAACCCCTGGGCAGGCCCTCTGTGCCCCACCCAGGAACTTCCTCTATTAGGCAAGGGGCTCTGCTTCCTCTTGCTCACAGAGCAGGAGCAGGTGGCAGTGACTGTTTACTACCCTTGGTCCAGGGGATACCTCAGGTTCAGCTGTGCATCTGGGACTCAGGGAGGGCGAGGAGCAGAGGTTGTGCGGGGTTGGCTGGGGTGGGACCCGACCTGAGCTCCTGGAAGATGGTTTTGCGGAGAGGCTAAGACCTCAGTTTCCAGAGCCCGACTGCCTGGGTTCATACCCCAGCTCTGTCCCTTTTGCGATGTGACGTGGCACAAGTTGCATCTGGTCCACTCTCTGCACTCTGTAAAAGATTTCTGTCCCCTGGGCATGGCCCAGCTCTCAGAGGAGAAGCCTCCATTTCCTCATCTGCAGACTGGGAATGGGGACCCTGCCTGTCTGGATGTAGACAGTTCCATTCCACACTTGCTAAGTGTCAGGCACGAGTCATAGTGAGACTGCCCTCTGCCCACAGAGAACCCAGCCGAGGCACGCCTCTGCCAGGCAGGAAGCCTGGGGGCCTGGGCTCTGCTGGGAGGGGCCTGGGTTCGAATCCTGGCTCCACTACTTCCTTACCTGGGCAAGTCTTGTGCCCTCTCTAGCCCGCAGTCGCCTCTTCTGTAAAGTGGGAGTAAACACCCTTCCTTGCAGGGTAGTGGTCGAGATTGAAGATAGCGTTTGTCAAGTGAATGGCATCTGTTATTATTTTATTATTGTTACTTTTGTGAGTGTAGTTCGTTGGTAGGTGGATAAACAGTAACAGGGCTTCATGACAATGGGCTCGTAGGCGCTGTGACGCGAGGCCTCTTCGCAGCAGGGTCCTTTCATGCAGGCCAGAGTTTACCAGGCTTTAGGGCCTCTTAACCCACTGGTCCCCAAGGTGGGGCTGGGGACTGCCACTGGCCTCCTGGGCCTTCCTGGGGAGGGCAAGTGGGGAACAGAGAGCTGCCCTGCCCCTGGCTTTGGCATGTAGCATGAACAGGATGGATGCAGGGAAGGTGGGGTGGGGCCTGGAATCAGGACGCAGGCCCCTGGGCCAGCCTGGGAAGCAGGAGGGCCTGGGATTGTGGTTCTGGGGGCTCGGTCCTGAGTCAGGGGTGTTGGTGGCTGGTGGGCCAAGCTGAAGGGAGCAACTGGGCACAGGGTCATGATGCCGATGTCTTAGGAGGGGTCCCCGAGGAGGGCTGCCGGGCCGCAGCATGGAGGACACCGCATCGTGGCAGGGCCCCACGACTGATGCCCACATGCCGTCCATGCCTGCCCTTGGCCGTGCCTCCTGGCGCTGCCCACCTACGTCAGGCCTGTCTGCCCAGTGGCTTCTGCAGATGCCTCTCCAAAGCAGTGGCCCTGGAAACCTCAAACAGCCTCATGTCAAGGGCATGAAGGCCATACAGGGCTGGGGGAGACAGAAGCAGTTTGCTGGCCCCTTGCAACTTCCAGATACCAAACCTGACTGCAGCAGCTCCAGAGAGGGCCCCAGGCTTTCTTCCCCTGACCCCAGTCCTGGGCGCATGTCCCTGTCACCTCCCTGCCCTGCATTCCAGGGCCACCCTCCCTGGTTTCTCTGGGGAGGCCATGTCCAGCTGACCCTCTCCCAGCTGGTCCCCTGCCCAGGGTGGCCGGCAC